ACAAACTGCACTTCAGTGCAGAGCTGTCTGCCTCTGCATGGAGTTGTCTACCTGAACTGTATTCCTATCATCTGAGACAGCCCTTATAAAGGAGTTCCTGGAATATTATTTCAACCAATAGGACTGAGACTTTCCCTATTCAATCAAAGCTGCATGGCTATATCCCATCAGCTTCTCCACTGACCAATCAGAATGACTCCATTCTGACCAAGTGTGACAGTGCCTTTTGGACCATTCAAACTGTGAACATTTGGAGTCCTCATTTGCATGAAGGTAAACCAATCAGAGACCAGGGGCAGGGACTTCTGTCTATATCAATCAGCTCCCCTCTGGTTCTGGGAGTGCACTTTTCCTTTCCAGGGAAGACTGCAGTTCCCCAGCTGGAAGTGAGACAGGAACCTATTATCGTGGCTCCAGGAGTATTGAGTTTTCAATGCCTACTTGAAGGAAGGCTGAGCTACTGTCAGTAATGTGTATTTAGATGAGAATGGCAGAGCTCAAGAAAGACAGCACTTCATTCTCCTGGCTTCAGATGCTATGGGTTCTTCTGCAGGCAAGTCAGCTCCCTGTGGGCAGGAGCAGCTGCTTTGATTCCTGTGTATTTGTCACTGTCCCCAGCACAGGGCTCTGGCCCAAATCACACAAAGCTCTTGGCATGAAAGGGCGAGGCTGTGTGTTGTTGCCATTGCTGCTCTGGCTGCCATGGGACCAGAGAATCACCTTCACCAGAGGGTGAAGCCCAGAGTTGAAATGCAGACAGACAGGTCCACAATGCCCAACCCCTGTGGGGTTGGAGCTTCCAAATGCATTCTTTTGACAAAGACTAGTGTTCTCAGGGCCAGGACAACTCAACAGTGGAAGCTGGCTCCAAGCATTGTCCCTGGCAACCACCCAGGGACAGGCTTTGGACCCCATGTCCTGCTCTCTGTGTCCTTCCCAGTGAGCAGCTCTCCCTCTTCCAGCTTCTAAGTGAGACCCAGACTTGGGTGGGCGTAGTCTACTCCTGTGAAAGGTCTCTGAGAACACACTCGGCTCCGTTTTCCTCAGTCCCTTTTGCTACCTGATCACACCTCCATGCCATTTCTCTTTGAGAGTTTGAGGGTCCATTTGCAGCGGGCTCCACATTGATGTTCCTTTGAATGACCCCTACAGTAAACCCCCTCTCCCACCAGAGGAGGCAGGATCATGGCTGATGGGTTTCCATCCTTACCACCAGTAAGTAGGTCTGGGAAACCAGGGCTGTGAAAAATTAGGTTAGGTTTATTTAAGAACTACTTTATATTACCTCCATTTTTGAAAAATCTTACAGAAAGGTATAGAATGTTTGCTAGAAGGATGGTTTATCTGTGTGGTTCTGGGGGAAAGACTTGTTGGCAAACCTGGGTATTATTATCATTATTATTATTCTAACATTTGTTGCATGCTTACAATTGCCAGGCATAGTAGCATAGTAGGGTATAGTCTCACTTATTCCTCACAGTCTTCCTGTCATCCCATTTAACAGTTGAGGAAACTGAGACCCGAGAGGTTGAGTTGCTTTCCCAAAGTCATGAGCTATGAAGATGAGATACCAGGCACTGCTCCTGGCTTTAGGAACTTAACAAAATGCTGAAGTCATCGTGTCCCTACTTAGAAAATCAAGGGTGGATTATTTGACTTTGAGTGACCTTTTTTTTGCTCTAAGACTGATTTCTTATGTCATAATCTCTGAAAGTCACATCCTAAAAAATGTGAGAAGTGGCATCTTCTATTTGTGTTTCTTTCCTTCCCAATCCTCACCAGGGCTTCCTCCATCCCCCAAAGGGACCTGGAGGCATTGTGTAATTTACTAGTAGTTTTGCTTCTATTGGAAATCTACTTAGATCTTTCACTTACACTAAGGATAAATGCATGTTAACAACTTAAAGTATTTCTTTTCCATCTAATGATGGAATGGCAGGCATCAGCCAGCAGGTAGCAAATCATTTGCAGGAGGCATAAAGGTCCTAATATCACTGCAGTTCTAAAAGTCTGTTTTCCCAAAATTGTTCCCCTTTTCCCTCACCCGCAATTGGCATATGAGGAAATGAAGGCTCAGAGGGGGGCTTTCAACCTGACTGTCAGTAGTGTGCAGACCTGGGCCAGAATTCAGGTCTCAGGGCCCTCCGCTGGGAAATCACATGGAGGCTGAGTCACACGAAGCCTACCACCCTGGAATGTTCAGATTCCCGGCACAGGGTGATACAGGGTGTTGGAACATTCCAAAGGAAACCAATGCAAGATGAGCAGAGAGACTGAGACCCGTTAACAACACACTCACAGTACATGAGTGAGGGTGCCTGGAAACTTCCCAGGAGTGGTGACTGCCCAGCGCAGAGGACACTGAAAGGAAATTTGGACTCCCAGGGTCCCCTGGATGGAAGGAAGTGCTGGCATTGCCTCCGGGCTGTGCTGCTTTGAGTTCTCCATGCTTCCAAAAAGAGTTGGCCCAAGGTGACTCAGATTTCCTGAGAATCCTCTTATCTCAGCCAGCACAGACAGCTGTGCCTTCTCCTGTCTGAGATGTCATCCATTCAGGGCCATTTCCTCCCTCAGCCAGATCGATGGGCCCTCATGCTCTGCAGGGCGGGTCCCAGGACCAACCCCATGATGAAAGCTCTGATGACTGTCTCTCCTTGACTTTCTTGCCTGCAAGAGGAACAACGCCGTTGCTATAGTGATCGTTTTTCCAAAATTAAATCAGGTCAAGAGGCCTGGATGGAGAGAGAGTGCTTATGAGAAATGAGGGCCATGGGCTTTGCATTGGCCTGTGAATGTGGTCTCTGGATATGGCTTGCCCAAAGGGAGGCGGTGTAGGGTGGGTGCGTGTAACATTCAGCTCTCTCTGACCTGAGTGTCCAATGTTCTACCCAGACAGATGATGACTGCACACCTGTTGGGGTCCATCCCAGCAGGTCCAGGGGTTCCCAAAGGTGTGGACGGTCCCAAAGGGAGGCGGTGTAGGGTAGGTGCGTGCAACACTCAGCTCTCTCTGACCTGAGTGTTCAATGTTCTACCCAGACAGACGATGACTGCACACCCGCTCCAAGACCGCCTGGGAAGGGACTGGCAGGTGGATGAGAATCTCAGTTGATGTTTCTTGCTGGTGGCCACGGAGATCATGAAGCTGTACTGCATCAGGCAGCACAATATGCCATTAGACTGTATTAAAAGAAATTTTTCTGCAAATTTTCTTATCTCCATTCCAAGGTTACTCTATTGTTCTATTAAGCAACAAGGAAGTAACTGAAAGAGATTATCTTAAGTAAAGATTTTGTAGCTTAAGTGTGATTGTTCCTAGTTAAAGTGATTAACTACCTGCCTGGCACTTAGTTAAGGGGTTTTATGGATTTATTCCCTTCCTTAGTCCTGTTAATCCCTAACTCCAGGAGAAAAATCCCCACCTGGGGAAACAACCTTTCTCGGAGAGGTGACATTGGTTAAAACACATAGTGCTAAGTAGGGGAGCAAACATATTAAGAACAGTATGCCATATACCCCAGGTCCCTTGAAACATATGCTGTGCAGATGTTTCTACCCTGAAGCGACTGTGTCAAGCAGCAAGGATGGACCGGCTTCCGGCACACACTCGCTCCAAGACCGCCTGGGAAGGGACTGGCAGGTGGATGAGAATCTCAGTTGATGTTTCTTGCTTGTGGCCACGGAGATCATGAAGCTGTACTGCATCAGGCAGCACAATATGCCATTAGACTGTATTAAAAGAAAGTTTTCTGCAAATATAACCCTGAGGGCTAGTCCTCTAAGTTGATCTTTAGTCTTAGAGTTTCAAGGAATCTCTAAGATCTTTTCATTTTAGAATTGAGGAAATAGTCTCAGAAAAGTTAAGTGATTGACCCCAACCCCTTATACTATTAGTGACGTTGTTAGACTCAAATTAGTGAATTGTTCCCAACTCCCAGTCCAGTACTTTCCCCAGCAGATAAGCCCTCCTTCCACAGAGTGGCAGTTTTTATTTTCTAAATAGCTCCCTTTCCAACTAATGAGCTGGTAGAAGATGTCAGGCTCAATCTGACACAGTCAAGTCAGGCCAGGTCAATTCCGGAGCCCAGACCATCTGATTTAAAAACAGACATTTTCCGCGAATGGTCAACTGGTACACAAGACATGTCCGACATCAAATCATCAGACAAATGCGAATCAGAGCCAGAAGGAGCTATCACCTCACACCTGTTAGAATGGTTATTATTCAAAAAACAAAGATAACAAGTGTTAGAAATACTGTGGAGAAAAGGGAACCCTGTGCACTGTTGGTGGGAATGTAAATAGATGCAGACATCATGGAAAGCAGCATGGAGGTTCCTCAAAAAATTAAAAATAGGAACTACTATATGATCCAGCAATTCCACTCCAGGTGTTTCTCCAAAGAAAACAAAACCACTAACTTATAGCCCTGCTGGTGTTGCTCAGTTGTTGAGCATTGGCCCATGAACCAGAAGGTAACAATTTGATTCCCCCTCAGAGTACATGCCTGGATTACGGGCTCCATCCCTGATGGAGGACATTCAAGAGGAAGCCAATCCAGGATTCTCTCTCATCATTGATGTTTCTCACACTAACTTATAGCCCTGCTGGTGTTGCTCAGTGGTTGAGCATTGACCCATGAACCAGAAGGTAACAATTTGATTCCCTCTCAGAGTACATGCTTAGATTACGGGCTCCATCCATGATGGAGGACATGCAAGCGACAGCTGATCCAGGATTCTCTCATCATTGATGTTTATCTCTCTGTTTCCCTCTCCCTTCCTCTCTGAAATCAATATATTAATAAAATACTATCCAGGACACTCTCCCTCATTTGCCAGAGACACTGACAAGGGAGCTGGAAGGAGGCATATGTGGACTTTATCACCACTAGCTGCCTGGACCCAGAGTCCAGTGCCCAGGTGCCCAAATGCCCAAGTGCCCAGGGCTTTACAGTCTGGCTTGGAGGCAGGCACTTAAATAATTGATTAGAACTCAAGCAAAGACTATCATGCAAGCTTTAATCATACATATGGTTCTGCAGCCACACAGGGGAGATATCAATTTAGAGCAGAAGGAGGAAGGCGCACAGGCAGGGCGCTGTTCGCTGGGTTCTGGAGCCCATTGTCTCGGTGGGCGGAGAAGGCTTGAGGGTCCCAGCAGCATCATCTTGAGAGCCACGAGGTTTCTGGGCTGCCAAGGGCTCAGGTGGGACTCTGGTGCTTGGGGACCAGCCACCAAAAAAGGGTGCCTGGGCCAGTGTGTCAGGAGTGTGGCCTGCTGCACGGCCTTGGACAAGTCGGCTCACATAGAAGGATGTGCAGGGCTCTCAGCGACACAAACAAGGCACCCTGTTCAACGTCTTTGAAGCAAAGCAAACCTCTTTCTGTTTCAGAAAACATCTACTTTCTTTCTGGCCAAGGGGAGAGAGGGACATGGAGTTTGGCTTTTAAAAAAGCCAGAATCTGCAAAGGAGTTTAGGATTTCATCCTGCGGGCTGTGGAGAGCAGTGGCAGGATCATTGTTCCTTATATAACATTTATATAACCCTGACTATGAGTCTAATACATGTTCAGTGTAGAAAACTTGCAGGAAAAATTACTTTATGAAAATAACTCTGGAGGTGCTCCGAAGGCAGCACAGAGCTGACCACGTATTCACTGCAGACATATGTGTGGTTTGACTGCCTTCTGGCCGCCAAGCTCTGTCTAAGTCCTGTGGACTCAGCAGTGAACAAAACCAACGCAAATTCCCACCCGCATGGGAGCTTACCTTCCAGATGCGACACAGGCAGTGAACAAAATGGGTAAGTAGATAGCGGGCTGCATGGTGAGGAGGGGGATGGAGAAAAAGGCAGCAAGGACATGGTGAAGGGTGCAGTGCCACTTAGGCAGGTGTGGTCTGCCAGGGAAGCCTTGTTGGCGAGGTGACAAGGTGGCATTTGAATGAAGAACTGGGAGGTGAGGTAGTGAAACATGTAGATTCATGGAGGAAGAAGCAGCAGATGCAGACGGATGTGTCTGAGGTGTGACTATCAGAAACAGCGAGAGGCCGAGGCCAGGGGGCGGAGGAGGAGGCTGAGCAGCATACAGATCAGAGGTCAGACAGACAGCATGAGCTGGATGGGGGCCTTGAGCAACCAAGCTTGCGTGAGATGGGGACCCACAGCACGGTTTATACATAGGCACATGGACAGAGATTTTATGGTTCATGCAATTCACCCATTTAAGTTGGACCACTCAGTGGTTTTTAGTATATTCAGAGTCACCACCTTGCAATGTTTGCATGCCCTTAACTGTTAGCTATCACTCCTCATTCTTCCCTCCCTTGAACCCTTGGCAACCATCAACGAGGTTCTGTCTCTATGGATTTGTCTGTTCTGACCATATCATATAAATGTACCATACAATACGGGAATTTTTGAGATTGGCTTTCTTTCATTTAGTGTATTTTGAGCGCCATCTATGTTGAAGCACATATCCACACTTCAGCCATTTTTATTGCTGAATAATATTCTATTCTGTGAATGCACCATGTTTTGCATATCCGTTTGTCCATTGATGGACACCAGCTATTTCCACAGCGGGGATGAGCAGAGGAGGGTCAGGACCGAATTTTAACGGGACCTCTCAGGTCACTGTGTGAAAGGCTGAAGGTGCACAGGATGGCACCTGGAGATGGTGGGGCTGCTGAGGTGCAGTTGGTGACGGGCTTGGGTTGGGGGCAGTGGGGGAAGTGGTAAGGAGTGGGGGTGAGAGAACCCAGGTCCCTTCTGTGTTCCCTTCTCCATCTCCACTCACGAGGTGACCTCGCTCAGAGTCATGATTTACATGTCTTCTATGCACTAAGACTCCCAACTTCAAATCTCCAGCCAGAATCCTGCCAGCTGCCCACTTGACATCTCTTCACATTAGCTCTTGAGGCCTCTCACACTCAGTTCTCTGAACTTCAAAACCAACCCCTACCCCAAACCTGCTTTCCCTGCATCCTTTTCTACTTCAATTGATTGTACGTTTATCCATCTTTCCAGTTACTCATGTCGAAAACCTTGAAGTCACCTTTGCTGCCTATCTTTTGCTCCCCCCATAGCCACTCTGTCAGGAAAATCTGTGGAGTCTGCCTTTTGGAGGTATCTAAAATGAGGTCACTATCATCTCTTGCTTGAACTACTGCCATTATTAACATATCTTCTTGCTTCCATTCTTCTCAACAGACTAGATTCTAGTGATGGCGAACCTATGACACGTGTGTCAGAGGAGACATGCGAACTCATTATTTTGGTTGATTTTTCTTTGTTAAATGGCATTTAAATATATAAAATAAATATCAAAAATATAAGTCTTTGTTTTACTATGGTTGCAAATATCAAAAAATTTCTATATGTGACACGGCACCAGAGTTAAGTTAGGGTTTTTCAAAATGCTGACACGCCGAGCTCAAAAGGTTCACCATCACTGTGGACTAGAGGGATCCTTTTAAAATACAAGCAAGATTCCGTCACCCCTCCACTTAACACCGGCAACAGTTCCCCACTCCGGTGAAGAAAAGGTCCAAGTCCACACACTGGCCTAGAGGGTCTTATGGGATCTGGCCTCAGGTCTCCTGGCCCTGGTGACAGGGTGGGGGGTGCGGCCTCAGGAGGGATCCTGTTATCTCTTACCCCTTTCTCTCTCTGCTCCAGCCACCTCCTTGCTGTTTCTTGAACTTTATAGGAACTTCCCTACCTGAGGGCCTTTGCACCAGCTGTTTCCTTCCCCTGCAATGCTTTCCCCTGATCTCCGTATGGCTATTCCCTCCCCTCCTTAAAACCTTTGTTTAAATGTCGCTTGCCATGAAGCATGCTATGGCCTTCCATTTAATACCACAATCTGGGCACTCCCTTACCTTGCTCTACATTTTCTTTTCTCCTGGAACTTGACAATCCCTTTAATGCCCAATATAATTCACTTGTTTGTATTTTACTTACTATTTCCTCCCAATAGAATATTGGCTTGACAATCCCTTTAATGCCCAATATAATTTACTTGTTATGTTTGTATTTTACTTACTATTTCCTCCCAATAGAATATAAGCCCCGGGGGACAGTAGTCTTAGTCTGTTTTGTTCACGCAAATAGTACAGTGTCTGGCACATAATAGTAACTCATGAAATAGATTTTGAATGAATCAATAAATTTGTCATGTGGATGTTTATATAAATGCCACCACATAATATATTAGTTATTTAATTCATTTAATCAACAAATATTGATTAAACACACTTTCAACCCCAGGCAATGGATTAAACCCCGAAATGCCATTTGCTTCACTGCCTGTGACAAGGGATCTGGCTGCGATATTAACTCTATCAGAATTGAAAGGCTTGGCTTCAAAAATGGCTGACTCACCAGAATTTCAGGAGTCAACTCTTCAATCAGATAGAGAGCAAACTCCTCACCCAAACTTAAGGTCCTTGAATAGACTGACTAAGTCCTGTTCTCTCTGCTCCTGCCACACTCTCTCATTTGGGTCCCTGGGACTCACATGTTCCCTCCTGTCCCTGGGACTCCCTCCTGCCATCTGCTTGGCATTTCCCTCTTGATGCCACAAAGGTTGCTCATGGGAAACAAGTTCAAAATCAAACTCACCATCCTTCTCTGCAAGAGACTCTGTTAAAAGAATGAAAAGACAAACCATAAACTGGGTGAGAACATTTGCAAAAGACCTATCGGATAACTGAGTTCTCTCCAAAATACACAAAGAACTCCTAAAATGAACAAGAAAAAACAAACAAGCCAATAAAAACTGTCCAAAATATCTGAACAGACACTTCACCAAAGACAATATAAAGATGTTCAACATCATATATCACCAGGGAATAGGAAGTTAAATCAACAACGAGATACCATTACACACCTATTTTAAAGGTTAAACCTAAAACAGGAACAATGGCAAATGCTGGTGGGGATGTGAAGAAACAGGAACACCCATTCGTTGCTGGTGGAAGGCAAAATGGTGCAGCCACTTTGGAAGGCAGCTTGATGGTTTCTTACACTACAAATCACTCTCTTACCATATGATTTGTTCTCCTTGGTATTTATCCAAATGAGGTTGAAACTTATGTCACACAAAATCCTTCATATTAAATGTTCACAGAAGGTTTATTCATAACTAGAGGCCTGATGCCTCTTCCTCAGCCCTCACGGCACCGCGGCTTAGTCCAGAATGTCGCCCGGAAGGTCGTCTGGTCTAATTAGCATATTACGCTTTTTATTATTATAGATTGCTAAAACTTGGAAGCAGCCAATATATCCTTCAGTAGGTGAATGGGGTATATCTAAGCAATGGAATATTATTCATTTAATAAAAACAAGTAAGCTATCAAGCCACAAAAAGACATGGAGGAATGTTAAGTGCATATTGCTCAGTGGGAAGGCTACAGACTATATGCTTCCAGCTCTATGACATTCTGCAAAAGCGAAAACTAGGGAAGCAGCAATCAGATCAGTGGTTGCCAGGAGTTTCGGTGGAGAGAGGGGATGAATAGATGAAGCACAGGGGGCTTAGGACAGCAAAGCTATCTGTATGGTTCTGCAATGATGGATCCATGACATTACTCATTTGTCAAAACCCATAGAACTATACAACACAAAGAGTGAATTCCAATGTAAACGATGGACCTCAGTTAATGATAATGTTTTAATACTGATTCCTCAGTTGTGACAAAAGCACCACACTAGTGCAAGGTGTTAACAACAGGAAGCTGAGGGAGAGGGCATGTGGAGACACTGTACTTTCTTCCCAGTTTTCCTAAAAACTAAAACTGCTGCAAAAATAGTATATTAATTAAAACAACAACAAAAACTCACCAACTCACTTAAAGCCAGCTCACCTTTCAGTTTGCCCCATCAATGGTTCCAGCCAGCATCCAATTATACAAGCCAGAAATCCAGTTGACCTCGATACCTTCTCACTCTCAATTCTGCATCTAATGAATGAGAATGCTCGCCACTTTGACCTCCTTAACAACTCTGAATTCATCCTCTATTCTTCCTCCTCCTCCACCACCCAGTTCATCAGCCCTCACAAGCACTACCAGGATAGCCTCCTCAGTGCTCCACACCTTCCATCGTGACCCTTTCATTCTTTCCCATGTTGTGTCTACCACGAATTAAAATACAAATGTGAGTGGGTCACTCCCTGCTTAAAACCGTACGCTCCCAGGATGAAGAGAACATTTCTTCATGTGGCTTCTCCTCACTGTGTGTCCTTGCCAGCTTTCCTGGGCTCATCCCTGCACACGCCCGTGTGTATCTGAGAGACATTCTTTGTTACTACTAACCTTTGTACATTCTGTTCCTTGTCCTGGAATGGTTCCTTCTCCTGTCTCTTCACTGGATGCCTTCTACTCGATCCTTTAAATTTCAGTTGAATTATCACTTCTCTGCAATTATCACATATCTGAAGTCTTCTCAGACCCCCAACCGCCTCCCCCCCCCAATTAGGTCCAATCTCCAACTCATGCTCCATGCTACCTGAACTGTATGTTTATTTGGGATTGATTGATACCACTCTGTAGGCTGTACAAACTCTAAGCGAGGATAGGTCATAGCTCCATGAGGGTGGAATTCAGTGTTTTGCTGACCATTGCTTCTCACGCTTGGACACAATGCTCAAAAAATATTTGTTAATGAGCGAATAAATAAACAAACAAAAACATCACTGATGACTTTGAAGGTGGTGAATATCAATCATAAAAGCCTTCACCAGTGGCCAGCATCTTTGCCCTTGGTTTAAAGCAAATGGAAAGTGGTAGTTGCATGAGTGGAAGTTGTTTTTTTTCTTTTCTGTAAGCTCACCAACTCAGCCGCAAGTCCTCACTCCATTTGTGATCTCATCTAGGGAGGGAGCATTTGGATTTAAGCGCATTTGGCTGTTGAAGAATTCTGATTGCAAAATAGGGTGACTTCATGCTCTTCTTTTTCCCCCTTAGAATAATCACAGTTCTTTTCACACTAGTGTATCCTGGTGAGGAGTTCCCTGAAGGGACAGAAAAACAGTATTTAAGAGACATCCAGTTTTAGAACCATAAAAGGACCATTGTAATGGGCTTTTGCATGCCCATTTTTTTATCAGTTTTCTGTGTGTCTGTCACAGAATGTCACATCACCAGGCATTAGGGTCTACAGTATGGGTGAAGTTATTTATTATCACCTTCTGGGGTTCAGAGATTCACCCACCTCTTTCTCTTCTGAAATCTCATTTTACATAGCATTTTGGAATCCTACAATTTCATTTCCATGAGCTTTCAGATGTAGTTGGAACTCAGTTGGCAAATCTACTTGCTCTCATTTCTATTTATTTATTCATCCAACAAGTAGCCAGAGCCCATAAGATATCAGGCAATGAATTTGCCACAGTGATTTCTTTGGCTTTCAGTGACTTACTCTTCCCACCTGGAGTGTTAGCTCCAGGAAGGTATGAATCTCTGCCCATTTTGCTCACTGATGTATCTCAAGTACCTAGAATCATGCTTTGCACTCAATAAATACTTGTTGACTGAATACTAAAATGCAGTCTAGACACCTTCTGATGTTTTGCCTGCCTACCATTCAGCATTCATTTCCCCATTTTGGGGGATTAGAACCCTGTTTCTTCCATGGAGAAAAAAATCCTTATCTCACTCTCAGACTCTAGGGGCTGGGTGGAGGCGAACCCTACCCCAAGATCCAAGTCACTAAGACTTGAGTCCAGGTATTTTTTTGGAATTCCTGGGAAAAGACTCTCCCCCCCAGGAGCCTTGAAACTGAAAGTTTGTAAGTCTGCCACTTCTGGGGTCACCATGAGGGACAGCCTGCCTGGGAGTGGGACCCAGACAGAGGAAAGCAGAGCTTGGAGGAACTGAGAAAAATCGAGTTCTGATGACATTGCTTTTCCGCTCAGCCGTGTGCTCCTGTGACAGTTTTCTAGAGCTGTTGTAGCCAAGTACACACACTGGGTGGTTTAAAATCCAGTGATTTTGGATTAGGAACCACTCTAGTGGCCTAATTTTAACTTGGTCACCTCTGTAAATCAGGTCACATACGCAGGTACTGGGGGTTCGGACTTCAACATCATTTTAGGAAACCCAATTCAGCCCATACCCATACCTCTTGTGGCTGAGACCTTACATGCTTAATGTTTCCATTTCATAAAGCAAATCCTATATTTTGTAGAAAGCTTTCCAAATAAAGAGCAGGAATTTTCATTTTTTTCATACAATTTTTTCCATGTGATTGGGTGAAAGGAGCCCAGAAATGAAATAATCTACAAACTGGATTTGAAAAGAAGGTAGCACCGCACATTTCTTGTAATATGTATGCACACAGATATAGACATACATGTGTATACAGCAAGCATGTCAAACTCGCGGCCTGTGAGTTTAAACGAGGCATGCGGCCTGCCGGCCGTGAGTTTGACATGCTTGGTGTACAGTATATATATGAATTCTATGTAATTCTATTTACTGATCTATCTATCTATCTATCTATCTATCTATCTATCTATCTATCTATCATCTATCATCTATCATCTCCACATGTATGGCACAGATGTTTCACAGTCCTGTGTTTTCTTCCTCATGAGTTAGTAATCCTGGGATAAAAACATATCTAAGCTGACTACTATCAGTTCCTTGCAAAGGGATTCCTGCATTTACCTGGTGCTGTTAACGTCTCTCTCCGGGTGGCTGGTCACCCAGCCCAGTAGCAGCTGGAGATCTGAGAAGAGAAGGGCAGAAGCTGGAGTTGGGGCTGTCCCGACATGGGGAGCTGATGTCACAGGTAGGCAGCTCCTTTGTGGCAGGCCGCCTGGGCCTGAAAAGTTGTCTGCACTTCTCTCTTTGGCCAGTTTCTTAGTGAGTCCACAAAAAAAAGCCATCATCTTTTCTGTGTCAAGCACTGTTCTAGGTGTTGAGGATGCCACAGTGAATAAGAGCAACTCGAGTGTTAGGGGCTTACATTCTTGTGGGTTAGCTAAGTCTCCGTTTCCTTTTGGGAAAGCCAGGCCAACATCATAAACCCTTAACCTACATTTTAGTGAGAACCAAGGCAGAGAAAGGTCTGGCCTCCATGTTTCTCTTGGGGTGCTCTCCTATGCTCTGAACCTGGGGCGGGTGATCTCGTCTCCCCATTGGGACACTGGGTGTGGGTGCCAGTCCTTCCACTGCCGCCTTCACCTCCAGCCAGTGCACCTCGGACTGGGAGACATCATGGCACCTCCTAGCTCCTCCTTTGCTTCTTGTCACATTGCTCTTCCTCTCGGGAACGGGAACAGGCCGAGGCCTCCCTTAGTCCAGTCCCGCTTGCTCCCTGCACAGCCGTGGGTGACGGGCCATCCTTCTGCGCCCAGGGAGGGTTGCCCGGCTTTTGCTTCCTGTGTGGTTTCAGTTGGCTTGTACAAGGGTTGTACGTGGGCCCTTGCTCTGGTGCTGCTCTCTCTCATCAGCTGTCCTCCTGATTTTATGTCACCTACACCCTCTTCCGAAAGGAAGTCTCATTTTTGGTTGTAACCTTGGTTGTGTATGTAGCCTTGATAGTATAACCTATTTCCAGTATCTTTTGTACTTTAAAACAACACACGCCACACCTCTATTCTTTATGCTCAGCAGCTTTTAGGCTCCATTGTAAAAAAAAAAAAGTTCAATTTTTAAATGTTGGACAAATGTTTGGAAATGTAACAAACGCTTATAACAGTGGATGTTTTGAATTTTCCTGAAAGTCTACGGAGCTTTCAGGCTGGGCAAGGATTAATTATTCCTCCTGAGGGAGTTGGGCTCTCAGGAAACTAGACATGATCTCTGTTCAGTTTCCAGAAAGAAGAGCTCAGCCTGGCTCCTCACCCAGGATGGAGCCGTGTCAGAGCGGCCTGGGACCTCAGAGGCTCTCCTGGGAGAGGGAGGGCAGGAAAAGGCAGGCTTTTCTGGGTTTGAATGTGCTCTGGCCGCCTTAAGGCCATGGTGTCCAGGTCAGTTTTCTCAGCCAGGAACATTGAAGAAAAAAACACACCAATGTCATGGGATGTTTGGGAAGACTCTTTAGGGTTTGAGTGGGTACAAGCAGGGGCTTCTGAGAAACGACACCCCAGAGCAGCTCTTTGCTGGGCGTGCTGCCCCTCCCTGTTCCCGGTGGACTTCCTGTGGCAGCAGCTCAGTCTCCAGATGCGCCCAAAAACTTACCCACTGCTAAATGAAAACTGAATTGAAGCCCATTCAGTGGCTCAGTGCTATGTTAGGGAGTTGATCAAACCTATCCGAATGTAGGGACCTCACATCTGGCTGTCACTCTCTAGCTGTGTGTCTGAGCAAATTACTTCCCCTTTCCATGCCTCAGCCTCTTCATCTGTAAACTGGAAGAAATACGAATACATACCTTACAAAGCTATTGCTAGTTAGTCAGCACCCATAAAATGCTTAGAGCAGGCCCTGGCACACAATAAATATTCAATAAATGTTAGTTATTATGATAAGCCCCGCACTTGGAGAGACTTAGTAACCCCAGCAGTGGCTTTCCGCTGGGGAGGGTGGGTGGTGGCTCATGTCAGAATCACTCTTTGCAAAGTGAGTCGGGCAGGTGTTACTTTGCTGTCTCTTCCATGATAAAGAAATGGTGCTATCTCAGGAAGAAAAGGGCCTCCCTAAGGCTCCTGTGTTCGTATAAATTAGAATACAAACCCTTTCTATTGAGCCACAAGGTGCTTGGAACCAGAACGGTTACTGCCTGGGGTTTTCAGATGTTCAGTTTACAGATGTTCAGTAGCTCCAGAACAAATGTGTCAGGGAGACATGCTGCTAGGCCAGTGGTTCTCAACCTTCCTAATGCTGCGACCCTTTAATACAGTTCCTCATGTTGTGGTGACCCCCAACCATAAAATTATTTTCGTTGCTACTTCATAACTGTAATTTTGCTACTGTTATGAATCGTAATGTAAATATCTGATATGCAGGATGTATTTTCATTGTTACAAATTGAACATAATTAAAGCATAGTGATTAATCACAAAAACAATATGTAATTATATATGTGTTTTCCGATGGTCTTAGGCGACCCCTGTGAAAGGGTCGTTCGACCCTAAAAGGGGTCACGACCCACAG